TCCAAAGGTGTGAGGAGTTCTGATTAAAATTTGTAAGCGTTCAATTAGTCCAAGGGTGTGAGGATTTCTGATTTCAATATTGAGCCACCCCAGTAGTTCAAGGTACGCCCCATCAATCCAAGAGCGTGCGGAGTTCTGACTGACTTAAATTTGAATCGCCCCAAACTACGCCCTATCAGTCCAAGGGCTCAAGGGTGTGAGGAGTTCGGGGATAATTTTGGATTGCCCCAGGAGTCCGAGGCACACCCAGTAGCCCCAAGGGTGTGACGAGTTCTGTCTTGAAATATGAGTCGTCCCAGTAGTCCAATGTACGCCTCAGTAACCCAAGTCTAGAAACGCGGGACGGTGCCATGGCTGCCACGACGGACCCTTGCTAGGCCTGCGAATGAACCCTTGGCAAGTAAAAGAAAGTCTGGTCTGTCGTCTACACTTAGTTGAATCCTTGGGCGTGAGGGAAAACCAAATTACGAACCAACACAAAAGCCCAGTCCCAGGCACCAACTCTTCACCGGCGACGTTCCGTACAAAGTCGCTTACCGAGGCACTGATGGCTGTTTGCCGTGGAGGGCTCAATTCGGGTTTCATGCTCAGGGAGAGAAAGTCGAAGGAGATTGCCCAGAAGAGTGTTGTTTTACTGCTGGAAGGAGCCTAAAGGCTTAAACAAAAAGCCGTATATTGGCATGTGGGCACACTTTCTGCAGCTCATCACTTGCTCCCCATGGCATTGGAGCATTTTGTGACGTCATGTGACGTCAGCTTGGTGAGCAAGTGGTGAATTCACAAGGCGGGGCTTCGTACGGGCCGGTTGACTACTCGCAGACTCTTGCCAATATGGACTGCAACCTGACGGCCCGAATGTTGCTTGGTGGCAAACCTGCGCACATGTTATTCAGGTGTTGTACAGCTGCTGGAAAGTGTTGCGGCATGTTGTGGCGGATTCGCTCATTTTTTTTGTGCCTGCCTACCGCCTTTTAGATGTCATGCTGGACTTGCCCCAAAGGGAAATTATGACTTGCAGCGTAACGTAGTGTAATGTAGTGTAGTGTAGTGTAATGTAATGTAGTGTAATGTAGTGTGATGTAGTGTGATGTAGTGTAATGTAATGTGATCTGCTTCCGCATGCCTGCAGAAAGAGAGAGGGGGAGACCGGGTGGCCGTAGGGCCTCCTATCACCTTGAGAAGAAGATGTGCAGGTGCCTTAATGGCCGGTGGAAATTTCACCACTCCCCTACAGCAAAGCAAAACAAAGCGCGAAATGCAGATGCCAAAGACCAAAAGAGGTGTACATGCACACAGCAGACAAAGAAAGGCGACTCTAGCTGAGGGTATCTGCCGGCTGCTCTGGTGGCGCAATAGCGCTTGTGAGCCGCATGCTGGAGACGGGCAGCGGGGAAGATGCAGATGTTTACAGCAACCCTCCATAAGATAACGGTCAGCATTCTAGATACTGATGGGATCTAATTAGGCTCCACGCCTGCATGTCGAGCAGTCAAGCATGCAAGTACGTGGCAACGCTCGGCGGATGGGATGCGCAAGCTTGTGGGACTTCATTCATCGTCACAAACCTGAGCTTCAACCTGCTCATCCCATCAACACGCATGTGCAGGAGAAGGACCCTTCGAAGCGGCCGTCCACACTGGATTGCTTGGGCGATGACTGGCTGGCACTTCTACAGTGTTGAGAACATCTTCCAAGTCTTGAATTCGTGCTCAGACAAGTCTGGATACCGCACAGTCCACATTGGGTCTATCAGTGCGGATTTATCACCATTGACTTAGACGACAGTCAGCTAGGTTCATGGGAAATTGCTGTCCACTTGTGTTTCCGTTCTTGACCGGCATGGGACTTTTGATGAATTATGTACTGCGCTGAAGCTTCTGATGGTGCAAGTGCATCGCCCGGCAACATGCTCAGCCCGGTTGCAAAAAAAGTACTGCGCTGAAGATTTGCGCTACTCTTTGGTCACTCCTTGGATGGTCCTTCTCATTCCTTGAACCTCCAACGTAGCACAACATTGTGCTACTTTTTTTTTCTGCTTGTGCATGTTGTTTTCCGTTTCAACGAAATTTGCGATCGTTTTCCGGAAATGTGCTTGTGGCAATGTTGCTGCCCCCCATCTCAGCCATAACTGTGGTATGGCACGTTTCCCGAGTTTGCGCACGTTTGCGCTTTTTACGCAGATTTCTGTTCGTCTCGCAATTTTTGGCGCTCGTGCGCTGCGGCGTAGAATACCAAGGTGATACTATCCTGTCATAAGGGCTATCCAAGATGCCTCCAAGTGTGTACCAAAGCACGTTCCTGGCCATCCTGGCTGCTGCCTTGCCACAGAACCTATTTCAACTTTGACCTTACGGCTAGCCCATGCTCCACAAAACAAGCGCTAGAAATTGGAGCAGAACCTTGGCAATGCCTATGCTTGCTTTCCGAGCAGCTCCCGTGATAATGCTGAAGATGAGTCAGATCCCGTCATTGCAGCAGATGCCCTACGAACGACCATCAAGGAAATGCTGTGGCCAAGTGAAACAAAGAATGCAAGTTCGCATTGTGGAGCACACGTGACTCCTTCCTGTGCTAATCTGTGGAATCGTGTGGAATCGTTGTCCAACTCGATAGTCTCGAGCCTCAACCGTGCAACGTCCTCCAAGCGCTGAAAGCCACGCTTCGATGGAGCGCACGTCACGTGACCGTCATCTGGTCCATGTCCAGCTGAGTTGTAGATCAAGGTTTGATTTGCTGCCTCAAGCAGCCTAATTGGCCCGATACACGATCTTTTAGAATTATCTAGTGCCGTTTCAACCTGCAACCTCCAAGGTACCCCAAATTTTGCCCCACCGTGGTTTCAAAAGGTGTTTTGACAAAAAAGGAGCAAATTGTGACACGAGCGTACGTCCGTGACGGCGGTTTCTTTTGCCAAACGTGCGCTGCCTGATATAGATGGCGTTGCCGAAAGTGAACAGCTTGGCTTGGATGCAGCAGAGCAAATTCGCATGCAAAAACTTCGGCATAGCAACGCATGCCGTGGGATATCTTTGGAAGCGATTTGAAATGTATGTCCTGCTCGCCTTCCGCTATCACTACGCCTTAAACAAGTTGAAAACCAGGGAGAGCTCCTCACAACTCGTGGCTGAACAGCCGAGGTACAGAAGTGCGAGAATCGCCGGCTCCGCCGCCTTCGAGCCGAGGGCCGACACTCGCTGGGCGGGGCAGCACTTTCCATTGAGGAGGCATCAAATACTTCAGCTGCGAAGCATCTCCCTACCGAGTTCATCCACTTAACAGCGCAGCGCTGAAGTCTCCCTGAACGTTTCCGTGGAGTGTAGTGCTTAGAAATGCTTAGAATTACTGATTCATGCTTGCCGTTGCCAGGAAGAAGCTGCAGGAGCTGAGCTCTTGCGATTGGAGAGGCCGCTGTCGCTGTCTCTGTCTCATTATGTGGCTGCTCACATGCGCGAAGAGTTTGGCTAAGTGTGATGCCTTGAGACATCTTGGAGATGGCTCGTTCACAGAGCAGAGTGGGGAAGACGAGCCAACCCGTAAGACCGGATCGCATGCACTCGAGATATGTCGAGTCCTCCACTGTTTTGCCAAGTACTTGCAGAAGCCGAAGAGAGACAGCTTGGCAAGGTGGGTGAATGAGAGCTTTGGTTCACAAAGCCCAGGCTCTTGACCTCTGGCAAGATTTTTCAGTAAGCAGAAACTTTAGCTGGCGCAGTGCTAGCTATGAAACATGGCAGTAGTCAAGAAGCACCAGACAGGATGTGTAGGTTTTCGTTGGAACCAGGCGGCGCATCTGCAAAGCCCTGGTTCGCTTTGCCAAGCGGACACCTCTTCAAAGAGCTGTTGCCTTTCACTTGGCTTCATACCTGCCGGTAGGCCTGGTTTTTTTGGACTTGGAAGGTTTGGCATAATGTGAGGCTTCGGACAGGCGTAGACGTGGACTATCTGAAACACCCGGTAGCTGCAGCAAGCTTCAGTTTGCCTCCATCACATGTGCATGCTCGCTTGTCAGTACACATACGCAGGTCAAGCCATAATTCAGCCGAATCGCACGAGTTTCGGGATTCGTGAAGTATGAACGATGAATCCGACATCGTGGGCGCATGGGCTTGCGAGGGTCGGCCGATTTTTGCATGGAATGAGCCCTGCCTGCCGCACTGGCACAGGCGATCTCCGGAGGGCAGCCGAGAGCTTCAAACGTGTTGATCACGAGCAGAGCGGCCGACTCCCCAGTAATGCAAACACCGTCACTCTCGCAAAAAGTGCCTTCATTTCTTACATTGCTGTATCAAGATGATTTTGTGTGCAGGTCACCTGACATACGGCGAGATTGCAGATGCGCTGGAGGAGCCAACCACCATTTTTGGCTCTGGCCTGCCGAAAAGTTTGCCGCGTGTTGTGGGGCCCTACATCCTCTTGACGTTGTAGGAGGTGCTCGGCCTTGAACGTGAGCACGGACTGCGTGTTGCGTCCGCCATGGACACAGACCAGTCTGGACAGTTAGACGCTTGCCCAGCAGATGACAGGGGCGTTTAAGTCTTCTGCACGCAGGCATTTCCAAGTGACAACACATGTCTTCCGTCATAGAGGCTGAAGTTATGGCTCGCAGTGACAGCAAGGATACGTTGTAGCTTGACATCTAAAATCAGCAATGCTCAAATTCCGCCCCCAAACCTGCGAACTGCGAATGTCAAGCACAAACGCAAGCAGTCTTTCGATCCTTTGCATGCAAGGATTTCCAAGAATTCTCCGCTGCCGTCGCCGTGCTTAAAGGTGGGAACACTATTTGCAATTTCTTCATCCCCGTACCTAGAAGCACTTGAATGCTGTACCTCCGACAGCTTTGCACTGCTTTGCGGGTGGGGTGGCGGGATGCGGTCAAGAGTCAAAAGCCTAGCGAGCCTTGGAAGGTGAAAGGGAGCAGCGCTTGTACGACAAGCTGCTGCTCGGCTTTTGTTTTCCACTCAAGGGCTGGTCGTGGTCAAAGCTGCTGCTGGAAGGCCTCAAATAAGGTTTTCTTCAATGTGCCATGCCCCTCAGAGTCCAGCAGCATGCGGCGACGGCGATATCAAAGCATGATGGTGCGGATCCAACATCGCTAGCAAAAAGCAGCAAGGAGCCTCATCAGTGAGAACACGGAGACGCCTCCTACAATTATTGAGGACGGCGCTTACAAGAGAAAAGGTCCAAGTATCAAGAAGCTCCCGGTACAACCCGAAAAATAGGGGCAAAAGCCAATCCTATCATCAGGCAGTTTGGTTAAAGCTCACTCCTTTCATGAGGAAGTGAAGTGCAAAGACCAAAAACTACAAACAGCCTTCCCACCAGAGACATGCAAAGGCCGAGCCATCCAGACATGTGCGCAGTGCTAAAACAGAACCCCTGTCATCATACCATGAAATGGAGCGACGAAGTACTGGGTATGTTGTGTGAAGCCCGATTCTCTCGATGCTTGCAAAGATATGGAGCGCCAGAGTCACGGTGACGTGGTCAAAAGCCAAGGGAAGCAAAGGTCGAGCAAGGGAATTTTGATCAGCACCCGTCTCTTATTATGTGCTGAGATGAGGGGCTGTTTTCAGTAGTTACTCCCATCAGGCCACTGTTCTCAGGTATGTCTTGGATCAGACCCCATGCGTTTTGCAATCTCGCCCTTGTCCGTCCAGAGTCTCTAGGCAAAGTGATGCTCTTCTAATTTGAGGTCATGGGCAAATGAAGGCCTGTGAGTCGAAGCTAGAGGGTCACAATATCCAATGCATCCTTAAGCTGGGATCTGTGCTACAATCATCCGGGAGCGAGATCGTTCTGAAACGCGGTTTTCGGCGTTCAGAAAGATTGCATGATCACCTACTCCCATGTCCATCAGCCCTGGCCCAAGCCCCTTTTGTGGATTGGCGTAAGCCCTGCGAGGAATGCTTAGTTCACTTGATAGCTGGATCTGGAGTTGAGGCTGGAAAGGCTGCAGATTGACCCGGAGAAGGACAGCATTGCATTTGGGGGTGTGGGATGTGAGGTGACGAATATGGATTTGGCCCACGGCTGTAAACATCACCAGGGCACTTGCAAACACGCCACGCTCATCGTGGACCACACAGGGTATGCATCACAATCGCGGGTCGCTTTAGTAGATGGACCGCTTTCATCACAGAGGCCTGACCACCTTACAATGCCTTCCAAATTTCGGGCCTGGCGGCAAGTGCCGGCCTCAACCCTACGCCCGAAACCCACAAACCCTAAACCCTGAGTAGGAAGCCATATTGAGAATCCTTTATACGGGTTTTGTCCTTGGTACAAAAGACCAACTTCAAGGTCCTCGTCTCCCTATGTTAACGCCCTGCAGGACCCCAATTCTGATCTTCTTGCTGTTTTGGATGGTTTTTTGAAAGGCTTGTTGAAAGGCTTTTAGGTGTTCTTGTCCCTAACTTAACACCAAATTTTCAAATGGGTGTTGTAGGGCTTTAAGGTCTTGTTTTTCCGCAGCTTAAGCCAAAATGGGGTCCCAATTGTGCTGATGAATTGGACCCCATTTTGGCTTAATTGGGAGCAGGAGGAGTCCAAAACCCAAGAAAGGCCATCAAACATGTCTTGGAACATGGTTCTCTGCGCAGGTTGCCAATGTTGTAGCTCACAAGTGCATTTTTTGCAAATCAGCAGCCCCATTTCACGTATCGGATAAGCTAAGGTGGTGCAAAATCCTCGCTGAGGAGCCACAAAAGTACTGGACACTTGGGCAAGCACACACACCCAAAAACCATGCAACATGCCCAGTTTATAGGGTTTAGCGTGGGCAATGCACGCCAAACCTGTCCCATGCTTGTCATACAGTGCAAGTCCCACCAACACTGGTATTGCAACGACAAACACTGTCCACGGCGTGTATTTTGAGCGTTGTGTTGAGCCTTATAGCGCATTTTACGCGCCCAGCAGCCGACCAAGAGCCAGCATCATGCACCGTAGGGCCTGTTTGGGCCCCCAATTTCCTTCTTGACACCACACATATGAGATTCCAACACCTTTCCAAGACCTCAGGCATGTTGAGGTCCAAAAATGAGAAACGAAGGCTCACCGAAAACTCCCAAAGTCACCTTGATTTTTGACACCCCATAAGCACGCCTCCAGGGCTTCCAAGGGAGGGGGTCGGCGGACCGGGCCGCACCCCTATAAGCATAGCTTAGCTCAGCCAGGCCAGACTATACTAGCGCTGCAGTGATTGCTGGAGCTCCTGATCTGTGCAAATAGTTAGGTCCTGGGGGCTGCCTAGTGACGCCCAGGATTTGACACTACAGGAGGTCCATTCCGCAGTGGAGCACGCGCTGAGAGGCCCCGCACCTTGGCGTGGCAAAAAACTTCAGACCAGCATCGCTTCTTTGAGCCTGAGATTAGTACTGGTACAGCATTCTCATGGTTTCCATGTCGTCCTGCACCTTTTAGAAGTGTTCTTGATCAGGGGCCTGACACACTGGATCGGGTTGACAGTTTGCAAAGGAAGGTGCGGGCAAACTGCCTTCTGGGTTTCTTCGCATACCTAAGCCAGTAAGATCATGGGAGGCTGGCTGAAGGCCGAACCTAGACTCACACTTTCACCATTGGCATCATGCACCACATGACAAAGGCAAGCTCATGTCACCTCGGCAACTTTGGTTGTTGGGGTTTTCTCCTGTATCGTGCCCACTGCCGAGCACCATGCCGATGTGTGTTCCTCGAAGCCAACGCCCACACCATGTTATTCAGCAGCACTGCCAACAGCTTTCTAAGCATAGCCTAGTCTTTGGACATTGTCTTTGATGCCACTAAGGTGACCCGGGAGGTGCTTATCGAGTGGTTGACGAAAGTGGCAAAAAGTGTCCTGCCAGCACCAGAGATGTTTTTTGTGTTGCTACAGCTATTGAAGCCAACTTGAAATTTCGGCGCGATGGCCAACGCTGAGGATCTCATTGGGATATCTACAATGCCCCGGTAGCCGGAATGGTTTCGAATGCGGACTTTCGACGGCTTTTTGGCCAATCCAGGGTCTAGCTGCGCTCAGGTATTCCTGGTCACACACTCTTGCAGCACACTACAGTTCTTAGGACTTCTAAGAGCCACGGCAAATGGTGATCCTGATTGCAGTTTGGATCTACAGCCGCTCTAAAGCTGCTGTACTTGTATAAGCCAAGCTGACAAGATCCAAGTCCGCCTTAATCCGCCTTAGCCCCGTTCGAGTGCAGATTGTGCAGGAAAGAACCTTACTGTATGCACCACAAGCGTGCCAAAGAACTCATGGGTGTCACTCCTCCGGACCATCCTTTTCACGTATGTGCCCACATGCGTGACTTTATTTAATTGGCCAAGAGGTTCAAAGGCTGCTGTGTAATCTGAGCAATCCGAATTAATGTCTCAGCTGCGCATACTGACTACAGTGCTTCAGGGCAGGACCGGGCCTAACCTGCGCCACCCAGTCCTGGCACAAGAAGCACAACTTGTTCCGTTTTGCAGTGATTGGGTCAATTTAGCTGACGCGCGGGTAGCCTCCAACCAGTAGCCGGCAATGTGTTTTCCTAGGGCTTGGATTACCCCCTAGTCTCGAAGCACAGATCCTGCCAGATGTTGGCCAACGATTTTTCCTTGGTTTAATAAATCTTGTGGGAGAACCCTGCACCATGGAGGTCAAATCTCATTTGGTCATTCGTTGCGGTTGGGGCCCCCGGTTCGTACAGCTCCGTCCCGTGCGGTTCCGGTTTATTCGGTGCCGCTGCTTATCACGGCCGTCATGAATGGCATCCTTATGTGGCGATTTTCTTCGAGCTGCAGCGCGGTTGCTCGCTTCAAGCGTTTGTTGCCTGAAGGTTCAAGATAGCATGCGGAATCAGTAGTGGAGACCAGCACCAACATATTGCACATCAACTTGTGATCCAAACTTGAACTAAAGCAAATTTGCACAAATAGTTTTGGTGCTTCTGCGCCCAATCAGTTGCCGACATTACAGCTTGTGCCTCACCGCAATGGCCAAGCATGCCGCTAGAGCCAGTGTCAAGTGGCGGTGGCGCATCCCTGTATCAGCTCCTCGGAGTGCAAACCCAGCATTAGAGACTTTGGTAGGGCCTAGAACGCTTGAGAAAACCAGCTCAGCACAAGAACCGTCATGCAGTCATGTGCGCAGCTTGGGCAACAGCAATGGGGCGCGACTTTGAAGCGCGGGGCACATCGCGATAAGCTGGGGGCAACTTCCAGCCAGGCCTTGCTGCTCCTGGCATTGAGCGGAACAGCAACATACCTTACACAGAACAAGCTGCAGGACCGCATTAATCATATTGGGGATCATCGGCATGCGATTTCTCAGGGCAAGTGGAGACTTCGCAATGTAGTTGCAGGCGCCATTCTATTCTTGGCTCCGTGAGCGCTGAACATTCGGGCTGTAACTCCAGGTTCCAGTTTGGCATCGTTCCAGTTTGCAATTTGACATGAAGAGGATTTGGGATGGCATTCTCAACAGCTCGAGGCAGACGAGGACAGGGCTGCCAGCCTCATGCACTGCACAGAAAAGTAGACCTGCTGCCCAGAACATTCGACTTTCTGTTACAGCTTGCTGGCAATGAGGGGAGCAGTGTGGCCTACTCGATCCTAGGCATTGCGCATGAACTACCTGGAGATAGCATGTTGCCAGGAGATTGGGTCCCTCCCCAAGACGGAGGGCTTCGCTGCGATGGCGCCTGAGAAGAAGATGCTATCATCATCGTCCGAGCCTTAACATCAGTGCAAAGAGAGAATCCATGCGACACAAACAGGGAATGGTAGAAAGAGCTTCCCGCCCGAACGACTTGTCGTCCCTTAAAAACCGGGCCATGACTCGCTTGATGCACAGGCAAGAGCATGAAGGATTGTAGAGTGACAGTCCGCCAGTATCCTTCCAGAATTAATCGCGAAGTTCACTGCTCACAGCATGATGAGCCGTATGCCTCAACAGCGTCACGGCATGTCACGGTAAATCAGACCGCGGCCAGCAAAACATGTTGCCACGTTTGTGCCAAACGGGCATGCCTGCTTGAGGTCTGTGCAGGAGCCGAGCCGCGCGCAGCAGATGTCTGCAAAGGCAGCATCTACGACGGCAGCATCTACGACGGCAACGTCCACGACCGTAGCTACAGTTACAACACAAACGGCAACGCAGGCGTGGGATTCGCGGCTTAGCGATGGCAATGCAGCTTCCTTTGCGCAGCATAGAAGCCTTTTTTTCGAAGCACGGTTGCTTCAGATAGCTTATTGCTTTGGAGCGCTTCACTGCAGGATCTCAAGTGATCTCAAGTGCTATCATTTTTTTATCTCCCAGCTCTGTATTTTGCCAGATCCGGCCGGAGACCAGCCCGATGCAATCATGAAAAAGCACTTTCATTTCAGAGCAACAGGCCTCCCTTTACTGCCAGATATCCTTTAGCAGGATGAGGACTCTTCATCACCTGATCTTCATGGGCTTAGGTTCGATGTTTCTGCTACGTGGCATGCCTTTCGAAGTGTCTCAACGTAAAGGCTCCGGAGCCGAGATTTCTGCCTCCCAAGGCTAGCACATATGTGCGTAGTTTGTCTCGGCATCCTGACAAAAGCTGGCATTCATCAGAAACATGCAGAAGATGATTTGTGCGCTCTTTGTTGTGGTGTCGGAGTTGGAAGCTCGTTACCAGATGGTGTTCTGCGGACGACAAGTATCATTACAGTCAGCATGCTTTCCGCTGTTCAGAAAGTCAGCTTGTGAAGTTGCAAAGCTGAGAATCCTGCTAAGCTTTTGCCAGGCGCTGCACCCGTCGTGGAAGGACATCCGAAGGCAGATTTTCTGCTATTCGTGCAGACAGACAGACAGAGAAAAAGTCAACATTTCCAAGACACCCCCCGAATTCAGTCTTTTGCGAGCATCCTATAGAGGACGCTCATGTGTAGCAATTGCATCACGGTTCTAGCCATGTCCGTGTGCTGCTCGGTGGAGCCGGCACCACTAAGGCGCGCACTCCAGGTTTCCAGTGGGTGGGTGTGTCATTCAGTTTTCTATGTTTTCTTGCATGCCTGCTGATGGGGGGTTGGTTCGTTCCGTACGGCCCGTAAAGAGGGTCATGAAACTTGGAGCGGAAATTCGGTGGCCATGAGAAGCCATCAGCCAAAAGCAGAGGGTAACCCCAAAACAAGGCCTGAAAGCCAAAAGCCAGCGAGCAACAAAAGTTACCTCCCGAAAAAAGAAAGACGCAAGGAAATGCACATTGTTCCGACCCAACGGGAGGGGCGGGCCCGAACTGTTCCTTGATAGTTACCCCAAAGACCTGATGCTGATGGCCATTGCACAAAAGGTAGTCGACATGAGTATAATCCTGTTTGCCTATAAAAGCTATATGGGCTTGCTGTGCAATGGAGCGGTCGACTACGAAAGATGGCACCTGCTCATTTCCAAAGGCCAACTAAGCCCAGTCATGACGTGTTGGGTTGTTGTAGTGCATGTGGACGTGTTGGGTTGTTGTAGTGCAAGGGGTCGTGGGGTTCTCAGTTGGGACGGCCTCTTCTGCACTCTTTCCGGCAAGCCCGTTCTCGTGGTTGCGCAGCCAGTAGACCTGCATGACGGCGTCTGAGTGGCGAGCACAGGTTTGGACTGCTTGGCAAGTTCTTCATGGGTCTTCGGGGCCGTTTTTAGGGGGTTTGGGGTTCATTCGTGCAAGCCGTGCTGGCAGCAAACCGAGTGTAGCATGTGCAAACTTGGGAATGCGGTAGCTAAATCAGGACATACTCGTATCAAACCACATGCAACATCCAATTGCCCTACAAGTGCTACAGCGCTGCCAAGCTCCGTCCGCCTTGCAATTCCATCGCGTCCCAACTAATGAGAGCCAAGTCCTCAGCAAAGTCGTGAGTCGCAAGTTTTACGCACAATCGATCTCGTGTATGGGGGGACGTTCGGCTGAGGA